TAGAGCCAAAGATGTTAGAATTGTGTCGATGTCCCAATATTTCTGGACCTGACTGTATATCTCCCAACAAAAAGCAGGTATCAAGATGCTGGTGCATATCTTTCTCTGCTGTCTTGACTTATGTAAATAAAAACAAGACCAGCCACAGAGAAGAGGCCTAGAAATTCTTTACCCATTGCTGGAGACACTTTCATTTCTTCCAATTTAGGAAACTTAACCCTAAAGAACTGGTCTCAAAGCAAGAGGAGAACTACTCATACCTTATTCTGATTGACTAAGTAAAGAAACAATAAATGAAAAGATGTAGATACATTTATTCCATATTGCATGTGATGAAAAGTCACCTTTTGAAGGACTGAAACCCTTGACTCTTTTTTTCCAACCAGTCCTATTACAAAGGATGAAATCTAAAATGGAAAAGTTCCTAGAATTTTTTTTTTTTTGCAAAGCAGACTAAAGAAAGCTGACATCAGATCTGTTGTTCTTTGAAAATACATGGTGTAAGACAAGGAACACTGCAAAGATACATGTATGAATAAGCTATCATGTTACAGGTTTCCTTGAATAGCCTCTAGCTTTGAGGCTAAAGCATGTTAGATCGTGATTTTATAAACTTGCAGAGGTATTCATCTGGTGATAGGTTATTGTCTATCTGCAGGGCGCAGATTGTGGAAGGCTATTTGAACAAATTGTTTCTAAATGATAAAGTGATTTGGTGGATAGTCAGTCTGGCAATCAGTTTCACATTTGATAAAGAAATTCTGGCTGCAACCCAGAATTTCTGTACCAAATTTATAAGTCTTTGCCTATAATAGGGTTAAGACCATTTACGGTTTTTCCCAGGTAATGGACAATTGGTTGTCTGGAAACTTTATGCAAGTAAATAAATAAATGGAGAGAAATGAATCTTATTTACATTAATGAAACATCAGAAGCCTTGTTAAAAACAAATGAATGGTCTGCAGTAAATATTGTAAAACTCATTTTTCTCATCTGGCTCCTATCATCTGGGGTTGGATCTTCTGAAATCTTCTGTTTATTTGTATGTATGCTTTATGAAAATTAATATGGAATCAGTTCTCAGTAATTTTTAGCCAGGATAAGTAAATTGAATCTCAATATTCAGCAGCCATATATTCTGAGTGCAGCTAGGTGGTAGCGTGAGTATGTCTTATGATTATATAAATGCATAGCTGTTTACCTTCTCACATGTGTTCCCAGGTTTGGTTACGAAAATAAAATTCAAGAAAAGCAGACTTGTATCACTTAGGTGCTAGTCAATCAACAGCACATGATAATACGATGAACAAAGTATAACATCTATGTAAAATTGCAGTTCTTCTGCTTCGTTTCCCAAAGTTGGCCTAATTAAACTTATGTAGGCAATACAGAATTTGTTAAATAGGCAGGAGAAATTTAAATCTCCAGCTAATCAATTCAGGGAAAGTAAAAGGGTCTTAGTATATTGTTTTCTTCATCTTCTCAGTATCAACAAAAATAAACTCAATAATAATCATTTGAAAGTACCTACTCAAGCTTCCCACATACCATATCTGTTTACTAGATGAGTCCTGGTTACTTTATGCAGGAATCCTGCAACGTTACTGGATTGGATCCAGACTTAATCATATTAGAACAGACTGTAATTGACATAACTACTTTAATTCTTCTACAGATACAATTAATGTGTTTGTGCTGAATGCTTTGCATTTAGGTGTTGGTTTTCAAAGGGAAAAAAAAAGGAAATTCATTATAATGTTATTGTATAATTCCCTTGAAACTCTGTTTGAAAATATCTACATCTTTATACGGAGAAAAGCATGGAGTACATAATGTCTGCTGGTTTGATTTCAGTTTTGTGTAATATGATATTCTAGGAAAGGAACTAGATCTTCAGTGTAATCCACGGCCAATCTTCCATCCAAAAGAGCAACGGGGTTTGCAGTCTACTGGCATATTACGCAGTTTTTTTGAACAGTCCTTCCTACGCAGGGTAGATGCGCAAGCACCAAAGGGTGTCTCCTGAGGTGTAAAAATCTGTAAAGGAAAGATGCATATATATGAATGATTGGTCTCCAGCCTAAACGCCCATGATTATCGTAAGAGAACCATGTTTCTTCCTGCATGGTCAGACAAAAGATTTAACTGGTCTATACAGTTAATTTCACCTCCTCGATGACTCCAGCAATTCAGAAAGGGTTAGATTATAAATCAAAATGTCAGTGCTGTACTTGATTGAATAATAATAGTTTTTAATATTTAGTCAGGCCAGGTAGCTGGTGGAATAAGCCCAACGCAATAGATGGAACCAGGAGTCTCTGGGATAATCTTCCATTGGCTACAAGATTGGTCAGGTTTATTCCCATAAATTCAGACCTTAAGGAGGAGTTCCCCCACTTTCCCACTAGTCTCCATGATTGGCTTCTTCCAATGTCAGGAATCCTTGGCATCAGAAAGGTCTAAATGTGGGGATGACATTTTGTTTGTTTTGTTTTAGAGGCTAAGTGACCCAAAATATGTAAATTTCTATTAAATGATCCCAGTCTTCCCAGTGTACAATCCACAATAATAAAGAAAAAGTAATTGTCACCTCCTTGTCATTGCTTAATCCCAGTTTTTCTAAATTTGTCACTGAATAGTGGATGTTAGACAAGATCACTTCTACCTCTTCAATCTGAAAATACAAAAATACCATTATGACAATCTAACAATAACAGATAAACTCAGTAAAGTAGACTGATTGCCTGGCATTTATTGTGTTGGACAATGTCTTGAATTATCTGAAGTATTTTATTTTATTAGTTAGATTTATATCCTGCCATTCCTTCAGGAACTCAAGAAAGATTGCAGGGGGTTCTCCATTTTATTCCCCATACCTCTGGGAAGAAAGCTGAGCTGAGACTAGCTCATAGACATCCAATGAGTTTTCATAGCTGAGGGGGGAATTGAACATGCGTTTCCACTGCCCTAGTCCAGCATCTAGTGCACTGTTTGTCAACCTTGGCAAATGTAAGATGTGTGGACTTCAACTCCCAGAATTCCCCAGCCAAGCTTGCTGGCCAGGGAATTCTGGGAGTTGAAGTCCACACATCTTAAAGTTGCCTAGGTTGAGAAAACTGATCTACTGACTACTGCACCACACTGGCCCATCTGATATCCTTCTCCAGGTAAACTTTATTCAGAATTTAGGCTGTCAGTTACCAGCAGTAGGGTCTTTTCAGGGACCATAATTCCATTTGTAAAATAGGCAAATACATCTGACTTTAACCTTGCCAACTTTTCAGTAGGTAGAATCTGTTTTCATACTGAAATAGCATTATTTGAGATATGTACAATAAAATGTTCTGTGTTTGCATGGCAATACCATCCATATTTGTGATTCCCTAGTTGTTATGGAGTGGGATTATAGCAGAGTGATTTAATTTATGGCATTTAACCAAAAGAAAAGTGATCTTGAATTTAAGACAATCTCACCAAAAGAGAAGATTAAATAGAAAAACCTCAGCTACTATTACTTTATTCTCAGTCAGTCTAAGATGAAGCTCCTTCCACTATAAAGTAGATGGGGGGAAATGGTCTTTCTTTCAGGTACAGGTAGTATTTGTTCCATACTTTTTTTTATTTAGTTGACTTTTTCGTTATTGTTGCTTTTGTTTTGGTTGCTATGATCAAGGCCAAACATACCATAAAGTATATTTGACCTTGAAATAGCAAGGGTGAGAAATATCTTTGCCTTTGTCCATGGGGGAACCATTAAAAAAAAATGAATGGGCTCCATACCTCAATCGTCTGATTCATCTTAAGATACAGTATTGTCAGTATATCTTTGGAAATAAGCCTCCATTTTCTAAAAACGCTAATAACATAAATCACACTGAAAGCCTCAAGTGAGATAAAGCTACTGGCCTGTGGAATTCTTTCCAGAATGAATGTCTGAATGCAGTTGACTGTCTTCTGGTAAGATGGTGAGTAATGGCCTGTTTCTGGTGGCCCCGCAAAAGCATCAAGGACACTTTCATGGGCAGTTCTCCTTTAAAGTTGAAAATAATGGATAACATTTAGAATCAAACTGCAATGGATAAAATCTACACTTTATTTATATATATAAATATATATATATAAAACATACACATGGGCATTAGTGGTTTTTCACTAGATGCTCTGTCCTTCTGCTCAGCTTTGTGTGTTGGACATGTAAGCTTGACTGATATAATTTTCATCCCGAGGAAATCAAGAGATGGCAATGTAGATGTGCCTAAGAGTCCCAGACACTCTACATAATCACACCCAGCCACAAGTGGGACTCTGTGACTGCCTGGGAAGCTTGTTATACTGCACCATTGTTGAAGCCAAACAGCCAGAGAGCTAAACAAACCCTTGATGGAAAATTAGTTGAAGCACCCCAAATAAACTGGAGTATAAAAATATAACAGTCATTGGGAGTTAGGTGGCATACAAATTGTTGATGGTGATGATGATCCTATATACTGTACATTACATTACATCTGAAATTTCAGTCAGATTTCAGTAATGTGCAATGCTCCTCTTAGAGACTTTTCATGTACACACACTTTTTATGTACACATAATAGCGGAAGGTTGGAAGACTTCGCCTTATGGTCATGTTATCATTTACCTTTTTAAAAAAGTAGGTATATTTACAGTGAGTACAACCCTCATGTACTAAAAAACCCAACAACTTTAGAATAGTGCCTTACCTTAGAACTGTGGATAATCCTAAACCTTATCTAATCTATACAGATTTTAGTAGAAATCACAGAGAGTTCAACAGTCTGAAAAAAAAGTACTCTGAAAGAAATGGGAATAAAAACAACAGATTCCCAAATTACTATGAGGTTGGGAGAAAGGGAATGATCAATATAATGTCTGGGAGCAGAGAGGGGAGTGAAATTTGCAAGCTTTATCTTTTAGTGCTCAGGAACTGTGAAGTCCAAGCTTCAAGTGTGCAGACTGAATGAAAGTGTGCACCAGCAAAGACCAAAAAAATGCACATTTATACTCAGTTCAAAACTGGTAAGGTCAGGGAATCATTTTCATAATGCCTGTGCCTTTGCAACTATTGAGGATAAGCCCACTGCAGACCACATGTGTTAATTCATTAAAATAATGAAATAAATGAAATCATCTTTGATTAGTCCAGAGTCAAGCCACAAGGAAAAGTAAAACTCTTGAAAAGTAAGTCAAGTCTATATGTGGGTCGAAATGAACTCTCAAATATGGAATTTGGTCAAAACCTCACTTAGCAAGAGATCTTCTTATCTATTGCTGATTTTAGTCCTATTGTATGTAAGCCCTTTCCTCCACTGTGAGGAAATTTCATGCCCCATTAGTTATAGGGGAATCTACATAGAAGTTTTTACTGTACCATATGCAGTCGTAATCAAGGCCATCTAAGCATTCACCGTAGCACCACTTGATGAGTGTTTCTACCGACAGCACTCTATCTATCCTTTCTGGAAGTGTGGTGTATTTTTCTTTAAGGAAACCCTGAAATCCAGATTGGGTTGTTTTCATAAGTTTTAGGTCCTTAATGCCAGAAAAAACAATTGGAGCACCTAGAAGGGGAACAAGATAAATTAATTTAATATGGGCCAGAGTGAGATGATAGTCCCACAGTCACATATACAGCTTTTTCCTCAAGATGCAGTAATATCTGCAAATCAATTCACAGCACAGTACAACACAGTGAAATTTATTTCCATCTAAGCATGCATAGAACTGCACCTCTATATCGCTGCCTGAAAAATTGAACATTATTGAGAACTCATGTTTTTTAAATGTAGTATATTCTTGATTATGAATTCTAATAAAGTATGTTTGGGGGCCAAATAAGTTTATAAGGAAATCTGCTTCTTTTTATTTGTAGGTTTTTTTAGTTTTGTATTAGTTTTCATATTAAACTTTAATTTAAAAAGTGTATTTTGATTAATTTGTGTAGGAACTGAGGCCTTACAAATAGCTTCGCTTTGATCCAACAGATCAGATTTTGCCATTTTTCAAGAAGAGCCCTGCTAGATCAAAACAAATGTCATTAATGCATCATCAGGGCTTCTGGAGAAGAAATGGCTGATTGAACATGGCTCCATTCTTTGTGGAGCCAACACCCACAGCAATTAGAGAAGTTGGCCTCAGTCCAGATCTTCAGAATCGTCTCTAGATAAAAGAGATTGACAGGATCACCCACAGGTACCCCTTACAAAGATTCCCTGTGAAAAGATTGCAATTTAGCAATCTCTAGGGGGTGGAGTGCTCTGGGAGTCAAGGGAAACATTGAGCCCAAGCCATGGTGCACAGCCTTCAAACTGAGGTTAGATTTGCTTTACTTCCTCTTTTAATTAACATCATAAACTACCTTTTTGTGATTTATTTGCCAGTTAAAACCCTCCTGAAAGACAAGTTGCTGTACACCAGGAGAATTCCCTACTATCCTGGGAGAAAGAAGACCAAAGTTAGTTTAAAGATCAAAGAGAAATATTTTAACATTTGGAAACAGCGAAAGGGAATTAAGAATGTTGATTGGGGACAATTAAGAGGCTAGATGGATTTGAAACAGCTTTTTAAAGGAATGTTTTAAATGTTTAAGAAAATACAGTTAGTGAATTTGGATTTAATAGCAAGAAAATCTTCCCTGGGAAAGTTTGGCTTCTGAAAATAAACAAGACAAGACAGAGCTTTCAAGGTCAGAAGGAACAGAGACTAACAATATACTGTATCTCTTTTAACATAATGGAGGAGTATCCTTCTTCCAAAGAATAATTTTTAGGTGTTTGGAATCAGTGTGTCCAGGAACTATTTGTAAAATTGGGGCTAACAGGTTGTAGAAGAATAAAAGATTTTACTGGACAAAATAGCAGTGGAAGACGATGTGAATAAGGATTCTAAAATGGACTTTAAAGAAATGCCAGATTATAAGAGAGACATGGAAGAAATGGAAAAAGATGCTGTGGGTCTGAAGATGGACTCAACGTTGCTTGATTATGAGAATGATATGGAGAAAGAAGCTGTAATGGACCAGAAGAGTGATTTTGGACATAGAGAAGGGAAATACCAAATCTCTGAAACCTTTTCTGAAAAGAGATAGGAAGAGAATGATAAGAGATTGTTATCTGGAGTTTTATTTGGAGAAGAGACTGAAGATTGAGCTTTTCAAAAAGAAAGGAATTCAAAGTGGACTTCTCAGATCAAGGTTAAATTGTCCATGTTTTGATTTTGGAGTGTTAATATTGAATTTTCTTTTCCTGACCAGGACTGTAAGACGATGATTTATACCTGTAAAAGTGATTTATTTGGTTTAGTTTAAAACACATATGTAATTATTACTGGTCCTTTGTATTGCTTCAGGGGAAAGATCTTTTAGGTTTTACTTCTCAGAAAAAACTTAGAAGCTAAAATGCAAAACTGACCTATTTGTTTAAGCTTAAAATATATAGTTTATTATTACTGGCACGCTTAATCCTTTTGCTGATTAGATTGATTGTTGAATATTTTTTATAATTTGGTTAATGTTTAGGGATGAGAAAGGGGATAAAGAGGTTTTTTTGTTTTTTGTTTTAGTAATAATAGAGAAGGTGTTAAGTTACTGTTAATACATATATTGTAATTGTTTGGTGGGAGGGGGAAGTCATCTTTTACATTTCTTTCTCTTTTCTCTTTCTTT